GGGGAGGGTAGCGGCACTCAGTGCCGCTAGGTCTTCCTACGTCACTCGATGACCCCCATTGATAAATACCGTGAACCAAATATTAGATTGAAAAATTAAAAAGGTAAAAACCCTAAATAGGTCAAAGAGCCCACTAAAATATGCTATCCAATGAGTGTAATTCAATTAAAAACACGGGTTGGATAGAGTGGGGAGAGAACCTGAGTTCGATTCTCACCAAATACATATTTGGGGAGAGGCAATGAGCTTTAATTGTGACTAAATCTTGACTTGAAATTAATCACACAGCCGGCTCAGAGTTGAAATCTGTGAAAATACCTAAAGACCGACTCAGTTCAAAGAGATAATTAGAGTCGATATATATATGGATTTTATGATTTTAATGTTACATGACCCAAGAAAATTTTTCTACACACACAACTAAAAGGTGGGGTTCACATTTTTTTTTTCTCTTTCATCATTCTGCTGTCTCTCTGGTATTTATTGTGAGTGTAGGAAAATTTTCTTACATCACGTAACATTATACTCATTAAATCCTATATATATAGGAAAAATATTTTCTCATGTTGTATGAAAATATTTTCGATTTGCATGAAAAACTTTTCTTTTTTCTTTTCTTTAGGTATGATCATTTAACACCGGTGTCAAATTTGAAGTTTGACACCTCATCTGAGAGCCGTTAGATCAAAAAAAATCAATGATGTCACATGCTTACAAATCTGAGTCGTTGATTTTGATCTAACGGCTCTCAGATGAGGTGTCAAACTTTAAATTTGACACCGGTGTCAAAAGATCCTGCCTCTATATATATATATGGGAAATACAAGTGTCATGTAACATGAAAAATCTTCACTTTCCTACACACTTAATATAGCATGGGACCCACTTCAACTTTTTTTACTTTTTTATTATACAATGGGGCCCACATTATTATTGTGTCTGTAACATGACACAAATAATGTCATGTTACATGACAAATGATTATCCCTATATATATATATATATGTGTGTGTGGGGAAAATAGGCTAGACAGGTCACTAATGCTTTCCTTAGTTGGTAGACGTAAAACTAAACCTGGAAAGACAGATGGATCCATCGACTGAGAGTTTGAAATCTGGCCCATTTTCATTTTTAGCATTGTTGTGCTTTTATCCATAGACTCGAGTTGGACTCATTAAGTCCAAAAATAAGTTACTTGGAGGAATGTCCAATTTATCCCTCTTTCTTAATGAATCCAACTACTTAGATTAATTTGAATCTTACCCGTTACCCTCCACCCTAACTTCCTAGAAATCGAGGGTGTATGCTAGTTAACATATTCAAGAACTCCACTAAATTATCTATTTCTTCTCCTGATAAGAGATCTGACACGTCAGACCAAATTGATAGAACCCAAAAACGGATTTTGAGTCTTCAGAGGAAGAGGTGAATAGAGGTCTAAATGGATTATGCCAGCTTACAGGAGCTTACGGCCCAGTGCGGAGCCACACCAAAATTTTAAGTGGTGTCAAATTTTTTTGACATATTAAATTATTAAAATATTTATTATAATTACACAAACTAATCAGGAAAAAAATTTACTATAAATTCTAACATGGTTATCTAAATTATGTATTAAATAATATCACGTAACATTGAAAATTCAAATGAACAATTATCAATGATTATATATCAAAGCAAACATATAAAAAGGCACTAACCTTTTTTATAAGCATTTCAAACATAAGAATTTCACTTTCCTCTCACAGCATAATAAGTAAGGGATAGGTTATTTTATCTATCATTTTGTTGGTCTACCTTTGCCTATCACTCTCCAACATCGTTAGATCAGAATCCTAATAAGAGAAAGAAATAATAAATGTAATTGAGATTCTGATCCAATGGTATTGAAGAGTGGTAAGCAAAGGTAGGTAGAATAACCTATCCTAATAAGTAATGGACCAAGCATTGTCCTAAGGATATGAAAACACACAAATATAATAAATATATGCTTAATAACATTTAATAAATAATTTAAAATATAATAAAAAATGCATACCTAAAATTGTAAACGACGCTCTTTTAAACTGACAAAATCTTCAAGGATAGAATCTTGTAATTCTTGAATAAGTTACTTTGTACTTGAAACTAATTGTATATCATTCAAAATATCTTGAGATTTTTGTTGTAATACTTGAAAAAGATTTTCAGTGACAGCTGATTATCTCTTTCATCCAAAATAAATTAAAGATAAATTTAAAGGAAGTGATCATCTTATAAGCTGCAGTAGCATCTCCTCTTTGAGAGTAATTTGAGCCTTCACTACGAATTATTTTAAGTATGTAGCATCTCCTCTTTGAAAATAATTTGAGTCTTTATTATGATTGCAATTGTATTCACAAATTAAGGCTTTGAAAGTAATTTTAATTGATGGGTTAGGTAAAAGGGTTTGGGTATTGAGTTTTATTTTTCTGATTGAAAAACATAAATATAATTATATTTATTTAGGTGGTGCCAAATTACAAATTTAATCTTAGTTAATTATAATTAATTATATATTTATATAAAACAAGTAAATTTTTTTAAAACCAAGCAGGTGTCAAGGCACCTGCTGGCATAGGAGTGGCTACGCCACTGCTACGGCCTAACCTATATTAAACCAGACTTGGCTTATTACAAATAGTAAAATAAAACAAGCTTAAATTTTTTTAAAAATCTATTTAAATAACAGGCCATAGGCTTTTTTTGTATATGTAGGTAGGGCCTATAAGTCTATAGACCATCCCATATTATATTATTTATTTTAAATAAAATAAATAAAATTATTATTTTAATAATTTTGCATAATAAAATAATATTATTTTAGTTATTCTTTTAATTGTTGAATATTTAATAGACTTAAACATGCTAAGAGACCTAGGCCAATGCTTTTATTTTTTAAATATAGATTAGCAACTTATAATTTGAGACCTACGCAGGCTAACAGTCCAGGCCAGACCCAATATTTTTTACACAGACCAGACCTATTTAAGTCAAAACCTAGCCTAGCCTATTTACACCCCTGAAGTGAAAAAAACAAATAAGGAATTATCACATTTTTTATCAATTACATTTACAAGTAATATTTAAATAATATTTCTAGAAATATAATAAGGACATTTTGAGAATTATCACATATTTCTAGAAATATACATTGTGAACCAATCAAACTTTTTAAGTTATTTTCAGAAAATTCAAAAAAAAAAAAAAGAGTTTCCCAAGAATTTTAAATATTAAGAGGTTTTTCTAAAATATCCAAGGAATGTGATTAGAATACTTGAAGCAAACGCCTCCTCAGCAAAATATAAGTTGTTCACAGCTTTCAAGAAGAAAAGCAAACTCTAGATGATACCTTCCACCTCAGTCAGCAGCACCTTTGTATGATTGTCAAACATTATCTTCAGGGTAAAGTCTCATTAATACATAAAACTAAAAGGTGCCATAACGCAAGGATTACACTCTTATTTGTGGGTCATGCTAAAAAATATTTAGAGAAAGAACTGAAGGAATCTTTGGACATTGATGAAACATTAGAAGATTTATTTTTCCTAGGCTAAACTGTACAAATCTGAGAAATACAGCTAGCTATATATATCCACAAGTAAATGGAATGTATCAATTCTTATTCTTCTAAACATACAAGTTGTTTCACTGCTGTTGATGTGTGATGGAAAAGAATGCCAACTATCAAGTGGATAAGCACCTCATGCACTCTGAATTATCTTTGCAAAATTGGTAAACGTGGTCAAACAATTTAGAGAAAAAATCAACCAGCTTCAAGAACAAGTGCTGCCATAATCCCTGCTTCAATCCAAAACACACGTTATTAGGATCCATATCTGCAAGGAGACTACATTATCTCCTGCCAAAAGAAATACAGGTAAACAAACACTCACAATTTACATTGCTGGACTAATTCAGGCTGAAAGCTATGCAAAGAAGAGCAAATCATAAGGACTACTACTACAAGGTTAGATTCTAGCTTGGTTTTAGTTTCTTGTGACTTTGAAAGTGTAAAATAACAAAAGACGAGAGAAACATTGAAATAAATCTGTATATTGAATTAATTTGAGAATACAATATATAAAGAAAAACTAATGGGGCATAGCCCAGACCTAACCTAAATCCTAATGAAATAAGAAAATAGATCTTTACAAATAATAAAGATATCCTAAAGATATTTTTTCCAACACTCCCATCTAATGAGGCATAGCCCAGACCTCACCTAAATCCTAATGAAATAAGAAAATAGATCTTTACAAATAATAAAGATATCCTAAAGATATTTTTTCCAACACTCCCCTTCAAGTTGGAGGATATAGATCATAAGCAACAAGCTTGAACAAGAAAGACTAAGAAACATAACATCAAAATAAATGAGTGGGGGTTGAAACAACTCTACAACTTACCCTAAAGAAAAATAACAAACTCATACTTATTAATCTCGGATAGCGGCGTGTAGCAGCTAACCCTCCAAACTGCTATAACGCTATAGCGGGTAGCGCTACACTACTATTGTGCAAAGTGTACCTAAGTAATACACTAAGAGCCCGTTTGGATGAGCTTTTTTTTCTTCAAAAGCTGCTTTTTTTAAGAAAAAAAAGCACTTCTCAAAAAAAGTCTGTTTGGATGCCTGCTTTTAAAAAAAGCAGAAGTCATAAAAAAAGCCAAAAATTTACTTTTTTCGGAAGCTAAAAATTTTAGCTTCTCAAAAAAGCAGAAGTCAAAAGTCAAATATTTTTTTCAAAAATCAAATATTTTTTTAAAAATCTAAATAGCTGTAACTTTTATAAAAAATACTTTTAAAATAAGGAAGTAATAAAAAGGACTTTTAAAAAAAGTGAATACAAACGGGCCCTAAATTGTACTCCACAAATATAAAATTTTAAAAATGAGAATATAACATAAAATAATTTTGAAGGATCTGAAACTCAAACATAAATGATTTCAAACATTAAAATCCAAATCATAAGAAAATTAAAGGAATTAAAGTCTCAAATAATGTAGCACAACAAAATAAAGTGGCAAAATTAGTCAAAATTCAAACTGCCACTTAAGTAAAATGCCCAAATCAAAGAACTTAAGATTTGTCTCGGAAGCTGAAGAAGGTTCTAGAATCGATGATCGACACCCCTGATCTCTTGTCTTAGCTCAACACGCTCTCTTCCTTCTACAACGAGAACACTTTTGCAGAAACTATTGTAGCGACGCAATAGCGCTGCGATTTCAGCCGCAATACAGCCGCTACACTTTTCCTGACCGTCGCGGCGCGGTCTGTGACGGTTGGCTGCCGCACCGCAACGCAACTCCGTTATAGCACGCTAAAGCGGCGCTACTTACAAGTATGAACAAACTAAAATAAAATATTATCTATATCTCAAATACTCCCCCTCAAGATAGAGGGACACTTCATCTTAGGAAGAAAGAAAACTAAAACGATGTTTCACGGAATATAAGTCAGAGAAATCGACAGCAAATCAACTAAAATGAACATCAGTCTGAAGAGCTGGAAAAGACATCAGCCAAAAGGGCTGAAAAAGACATTGCTGCAAATGGAACACAAGCCGACGGAGCCACTTTAACTGAAAAAATCGGCGGACCAGGCAACAACTAAGAAAGACATCAACCAAAAGGGTTGGGAAAGACATTGATGCAACTGGGATACAAGCAGACGAAGCCAATGTAACTGGAATAATCCGTGGACCAGGCAACAATGAAGATAAATGCTACAACTGGAATACAAGCCGACGAAGCTAGTGTAACTCGAATAATCCGCGAACCAGGCAACAACGGAGATAAATGCTCCCCGTGAATGGGAGGTCAAAACAAAGTCAAACAATGGCAAAAATAAATCAAACACAAGCCAAGCCTGACTTGAATAACGCCACAAGTATATGTGGGAATAAAATAAAATAGGCCAAATATAAGCCACAAAATAAAAATAATAAATCAACGAATAAGAAGAAAACATAGCCGGAAGAAACAAGATTCGGCCGGAGAAGAAAAGATGATGCAGCCAGAGTAAAGAGACACGGCCAGAACAATGACTTGATTTGGTTGCTAGAGAGAGAGAGAGCGGATCTGAGCTTTGCAGGAAAACAAGAACAAATCGATGAACACATGTCGGTGAAGGCGAGTCAGATCGTGGACAGCAGAGGGAATCTGACGGTGGACCCCTCACCGTGTGCAACTCGGCCACGGCGGCTCTTTCGCCTGCGGCAACGGTCGACGGTGATGGAGCACATTGATGGAACCCAAAATATTCAACAGCAAAGATAACAACAATTGAACAGTATAATGCTTCCATTATCTCAGTATTCATCAGAGACACTAACTAGTAAGCATAACAAAAAGGTAACAAGAAATACAAAGGAATAACAAATAAAACACCAAAAGACCTCACTCACTCTCAAGCCAAAATACCTAGCCAAAGAGATCCCAAGAGATCCTTTCCAAAACCCAATTCACCAAAATACTCAATATCCCCTATCACCCTACACACACTACTTTTATCCTATACTTTAGGAATATTCTAGAATAGTTTCCCTAAGAAACTAGCTAATTCACTAACTAACTTTGCATTGCTGAACTTTGGCCCACTAGTCATAGCCCATCACACAACACTTGCAGCGGCGAAGGCAAGAACGAGAAGAAGAAGAAACTAAGAGAAGCGGAGAGAAAAAGAGAAAGGGAAAAGTTGGGAAAGTCAATCTCTCATGGTAGGTGATATCTCTCTACTACCATATTAAAATTATGAAAAAGAGTAAGGAAAGGCGAACAAGGATTCCTCTTGTTAGGCTCTGATACCATGTAAAATAACAAGAGACGAGAGAAACATTGAAATAAATCTATATATTGAATTGATTCAAGAGAGTACAATATATAAAGAAATACTAATGGGGCTTAGCCCATGCCTAACCTAAATCCTAATGAAATAAGGAAATAGATATTTACAAATAATGAAGATATCCTAAAGATATTTTTCCAACAGAAAGTTTAAAGCTATATGGGCACATAAAAGAAATAAATGGATTAGTGCCCAAACAAATAGTTGCAAGTTCACTCTACACACACGCACACATTCATAATGTCAAAAGAAAAATGTATATATATTTTTTGTTTTAGAAAACTTCAAGAGGACAAGTTTGAATACTTCCACTGTGATACAGATGAAATTCAAAATGGTCAAAAGCAGCTTGGATAGTAACTCTGAAAGAACAAGACATTTTTCAACCAAAAACTCTCTTTGTAGCATTTTCGCTGTAGGTTTTTCAGAACACAAAATGAGCTAATCCAACCATGTAATTTGTATTTCATAGAAAAGATGGAAAAATTGAAGTGGGATCCATAAACCTAGGTCAGAAGAAGTGATACAAACCATATTGCACTGTTTGTTACCATATTCACTACTGACAATTTGATATACAAATAATAATGTTTAAGTAAACAGAAAAGGATAATAATCATATCAAATAACACTTTGCTTGAACTCATAAAAGTTGTCCTTTAATTTGGAGGAAAAAAAAGGCCGTTACAGATTGGATAAGAAAGACAACTATCCTGTTCGTTCAGACTTCCATAGTGACCAATAATCATACTTCCACAACTACATCTTTTTTTTCAGATAATAACAATATCCTTCCTCTAACTCAGTGAAAATACTCTTGATCTTGACATTATTGAAATATACTGAATATCATTAATTTCTGGTGGATTGAGTTTGTTATTCTGGATCAATCTCATTTCTATAAGAAAAACTGAAGTAAGTGGACAGCAATTCCTCTGATGTCTTAAAACTTAAGTAGAAATATAATAAAATACATTTAAAGAACAATAATTAGCAAGGACTTACAATTTATACCCTACGTCAATACCATCTTTGTTTCATGCAGACAATCTTCAGTCATCACATTGCTCCTCTTTGCAGATTTTTCCTTAGAGTTGATACTGTCGTCATTCTTCTCTTCATCAAATGCAAACTCAAGTTGTTTCTCCACAGACTTGATAACCGCTGTTCGTTTGGATCTTAACCGGTATGGTGGAGATGCATTGAATGCTTTATTATTGGGAATGCCACTCCCATTGTCATGGCTTGCTGGACTGTCAGAGAACCTCCCAACTTCAGAACCAGAATTATCCTTGGCACTCTCTGGTTCATTGGAAGTACGTGAATCATAACCTGATTTCAAAAAATTATTAAGAGTGGTGCGTACTTCGAGTGCAGACCTTCTCCTGGTCAATATGGAGGGACTATCATCTGGAAAAGTATCATCAGCCTTTTTCAATATTGATTGAGGTGTTTCTGTGCATAATCCATTATCCTTCACTCGAGGTGTAACAAAACCAAGAGGTGACAATGTTGGATTAGAGCAATACTTGTTCTGCAAGGAAACTAAATAAAGAGAATCTGAAGGAACTGAACCATCTATCTGTGGTGGCTCATAACATAAAGAGCCAAAGGTTGGACTTTCTTGCAAAAAAGATGTTCTGATTAACCTGTTACTGCTCATTTCACCATTATTTATACAATTCTCAATGGTTGAGCATCCATTGTGTCCAGAATTCTCAGATTTTGGCCCATAAGTTATTCCAAAATTAGCTCTTGACACTTGTTCCGAGTTGCTATAACAAAGATCGATGTCTGCACAGTCAGAATCAGCAGATTCATTTGCAGGAACACTTGATGAATCACCAACTTCTCTAACTGTTCCTGAGGACTCAAACTGATTCTTGCCACAGTCATCTAGCTTGCTAATGGCTGTAGTTTCAGATGACGTTTCAACAGCTACATTTAATTCTTTATTTGAAGAAACAAGTATTGTTTTAGAAGCAGATTGTCTAATTGAATCTTTAACAGCAACTTGTGGACTGTTCTTTGGAATTGGTGGAAGTCTTCCTGTAGCCAAATAAAAATCCAACTTTTTTTTCAAAGAACTATTCCAGTGGTTCTTTATTGCATTATCAGTCCTGCATAAGAAAATTCAAGTAAACAAATAGTATTTGTCATCAATATAATTCAAATGAATGCCATTTCACATCACAAAATATATCTTACAACTTGTGCTCAGTAACTGTATAATCAACATATTGTGCCGCCCTTCTTACTAAGATCACTAGTATTTTTTTATTTTATTTTTTTACAAGGATTCACTTTACAATATGGACTTCTTTGAACTATACAAGTGTGGTATTTCCACTAAATATGATTTCAATAATATATATCAGAATGGCCAGCTCCACAACAGAGGGTCAACAAATCATTAGAAAATGTGTGTGGAAATTTTAAAAACAAGAAAGAACATCAAGAGATACATCTTAGGGTAAAACTAATATTAGAAAACGTTGCAAAAGGAAAAGCTAGCAAGTGAAACAAGCAAAATGATGATATAAATTTAAGATTTTTAGGGTAAGAAGACCGATATTGCTTATCACCAGTCAACCGGCTACTGCTTGGTATTTAATACAGTATTTCTCTTCTTTACTGTAGAAGTTTCTTCTTTTTCTTTTCTGCTGCTGAAGGCAGGTCGAGTGAAAAATTCATTGAAGAGAAATCACTGTAATGAGGAGACATGCTATGCCTCTATTTGGTGTAAAACACATGGCTTGGGGTTTCCCTAACAGGTATGTTGAAGGATTGGGCAGCTCTGCTCCATTTTTTTCTCTTTTTTCTTCATTGTTTTGTGTTTCAGTATTATGTTACAGGGGTCCCACTTCGGTGCTCCTCCAAAAATGGGAGTATTATACTACATTTTAAAATTACAAAATGAGTAATTAAGTTCGTAATTGTTATTAATTAGTCTGAAACATTTGACATAAAGTCTGTAATTTCAAAAAAGGTAGTACGATCCTCTCTTTTTGGAGGGAGTACCGAGGTGGATCCCTATGTTAAACAAGATTCCTTCTATCTCTTTCTAATTTTTTTTTCTTAAAAACAAGTTTTAAGTAGAATATATCCTTCTAAGATTTTATCATTGAGGAAGATTAAGAGAATTAAGAGAAATACATCCAAATATTACCACCCCCAACAAAATAAAAAAAAAATCATATTAAAAATATGTTTCGGACACTAATCCAGGAAGATAATTTGCAATTAGCATAATATTATAATAAAGATTCCATTCCATGATTTTTGCTGTGACCTTAATTTCCTTTATAACAGCCAAAGAATTAATAAAAGAAGCAGACCTTCCAGGAAGGACCTTAGCTATTTCAGCCCACTTGTTCCCATGTATGCGATGAGCATTCATCAGGGCCATTTCCTCCTCCAAAGTCCAGGCATCCTTCTTTATGTCGGGATTAAGATGATTGTGCCACCTGAAAACATTCAAGAAGGAAAAGCCAGTATAATTTGAGTAGTTTACATGCAAGTTGTAGCAATTGAATCATCATTTAACCTAAGAAAGAGTCTGATGGAATGAAGATCTTAAAAAGATGAGGCTGATACAAAAGAAACAGATCTAAAATTTATATTTAATGGTATGGATAACAACATACTTTATCAGTAAAAAGGATTAAAAAAAAAAAAGACTAAATAAGAAGAAGAAATAACTACCATGTGAACTTCAATTAACCTACCTCTCTCGACACTGTTTCCCTATTCGACCAGGCAAAGACTTAGCTATCAAAGACCATTTTGTAGGCCCATATTTTGATACCAGTTCAACAATTTTAACATCCTCCTGTAAGCCAAGCAAGAGAAATTAATGCTTGAATAAAATTGTAGCAAAAATTAAAAAAGAAGAAAAGGAGGAAAAGATTAAAACCTCTTGGGTCCAAGGTCCTTTAACAAGTTCCGGATTAAGAACTTTTTGCCATCTGTGCAGACACTGAACTTCTGATCTATCAGGAAAAAACTCAGCTGCATTCCACATATTAATTTAAATTAGTGTCATGAAAATGAGCATAATGCTTTCATTAAGCATTTAGTATTGAGCCACAAGAAAAAATTCCTATGTTCACACACATGACAACAATTCTACGTTACAAACCAAACATTATAATGAAAGGCACAAATAGAGGTTTGAAAGTTTTAATTTTAGTGGTTCATTCTAATTTTCTGCATGCCAAACAAGTGAAAAATTAACTAAAAGTTATCCTCAAGCCAATGTCTTTCGAATTATATTTGTCTTTTTTTCAACTGCGATGTTCTCTGCCTCCACTCTAGTACCAAGAAAACCATTAATAATAAGTAAACAATTTGTACATAACAGCGTAAAAGTTTCATTGTGTATAGTTTTAATGTTCCATAAACCGTCAGGTGAATTTTCTATTTCACAACAAATGATGGATGGGTCTGCACTACGTAATGAAAACACTGATGAGGAACTTTGCAAAACAATATTTATTATGTTTCTTAAGCATTTAAGCCAAATTAGTTTAGTGATCAGTGATCTACAATCAAATCTCTTCAGTTCAAAACTCTCACGCAAGTTCAAATATTCACTTCCGATTACAATCCAAGTATGCATCGCCACTATAAATTTGTGAATCACAAACAAAGACCATCAATGAATGATTGAACTAGATATCCCCATGGCAAAAGCAATGTAGCAATAACAAGTGATATCAGACACGCTAAGTAGGGTAAATATAAATACCTATTTTCTTCCAACTCTTGCCCTTAAAAGCTACAACAGCATTCCTTAATGTCTCATCCTGCAGAACGTCGAAGAAAACATTAAGAGCATTATTAACTAATATACAAGCAGCGATGCTTGACAAGGACAAGCATAACTAACGTATCTTGGACTACACTTACGCAGACGTTAAATCAACTGAGCTAAATTCATTATTTGATCAGCTCACTAACACGCAAGAACATATCTAACCAAAAAATGAAAAGCAATAGAAGAACAACTGTCTCCAATGAGTAAAGATTTACCTCCTGTGCTGTCCAACCACCCTTAGCACGCCTTATAGGTCCAGTGGTCCTTCTGTACAGAAAATATTCATACAATGAAAATCAATGCATGGAGATCATAGCAAAGATACAAAATGGACAAGTTATCCACAGTATAAAGGGAACCAGCTGCTATTTCAGAATGTGAAACTATGCCAATAACAGATAGGCATAAAACACTGCCCTCAAGGTAACAACATCATGATAATTCATGACTAATACTGCAATGAAAAAGTAAAGAACTAAATGTATGTTACCGATTTGAAGGCGATGCGGATGCTGTGCTACATATCCCTGGAGACTTGTGAATTGCACTGCCACTGCCTTCAGAAACAGAGGAACATGAAGCAGCAGTAGATTGTTTATTCTCCATACAACACTCCTCTGATTTCACCTCAGCCATATCCTTCAAAACCATCACCAAAACCCAAAATCCTAATCAACAAACCATTGAATATATCTTAAACACATAAAAACAAAAAAAGAAAAATTCTCCAGGACCCATCACAGAATAACCATCTAAAACCCTAAAAACCTAGCTCACGTTGCAAAATTTCCAAATTTTCGCGGGGAAACACAAATATAAACATAACCCAGATCTTAAAATCCACTATCAGATCAAAAATTCCATAACTCCCCCACCCCCAAAACCAATAAAAAAAAACTCACATGAAACATGGAACGCTCTTGGGTTTTCCCCAAAAACAAATCAAAGTCTTTCGTTGAAAAGAGGAAAAGCAAAGAATCGATCATATCAAAAAAAAAAAAAAAAAACCTGAATTTTGCAGGGCAAAAAAAAACAATCAGGAACAAATTTTTTGAATTTCTCCGAATAGTGAAGTACCTATGCTTGCAGAGCAGTGGCGGGAATCGAAGTGAAGCTGACAAAAAGAGAGACCAAGATTGCTTCTTTCTCTCTCTCTCTCTGTAGCTATGCTTCGAAAAATCCTCGAACGTTGAAACTTGAAACAATGGAAAATTGAAATTTAATTATAAATATAAAAAAAAAACCGAAAGGCAAATTTATTTATTTATTTATATTTGTGTTTGTAACGAATAGATATGTGAGCACCGACGTCGCCGTTAATTTCCGTTACGGGTGCGTAGCGTGGTTTTCTGAGCCCGTCAGTTAACGGCTGGTCCTTAACGTTTGCGGAACAAAAGTTTAAACATCAAACGGCACTCAAAATGTTAGCCTGCTATCTCCGAGCTGATAAAGCACTTTTGGCTGCATTAACAAGCAAGATTTTTAAATATATATAGGAAAAAATATTTATTATTTTAAAGAAATATTATTATTTAATATCCAAATTAAAAAAAAATCACATTCTATTCGACCACGATTTTTATTGTGCAATTGTTTCTATTGTTATAAAATACAGTAATATCAAGAGGAGATAGAAAAGTTAAAGGTTAATTGAAATTATAATCTAATAATGTTATTGAAAAATAGTTAAAGTAAGCATAAAAAAAAATAAGTTTAATATTTTATCATATTATTATTTCTTAGGATCTATTTTTTTACCATTAAATTTTGTCAATCTAACGGTTATTATTTATTAAGTTATATTTATTAATTAATTATAATTTCTTTTATAACAATTAATTATAATTTTCAATAAATTATAACTGTTGAATTGACAAAAATTAATGGTAAAAAAATTATAAGAGGTTATAAAACTTTTTTTTTTTTTTTTGATAACAGGTTATAAAACTTTTAGTTAGGAGTATAATGTATGTGTGTATAGGAAAATGATATACTCACCACCAAAAAAATTTACAATCTTTACAACTAATCTAATCACCATTGATTCCCGTCAATATGACAGTTATAATTTATTGAAAATTATTGGGTCGCATTTATTAATTAATTATTAATTTCCAATAAATTACAACTGTCAGATTGACGGAAATCAACGGTAATTAGATTGATTGTAAATGTGATAAATTTTTTTGGTGGTAAGTATATCTTGCCTCATATATATATATGGTCACCAATCATGTATTATGAACACTCTTTTTTGCATTATTATATGGGAATGATAGTGTAACAACCAATTAATGTTACTACCAATTAATCTTACCGTTAGATCGATTATATAGATCTAACGGTTATATTTATTTCGATCTTTGTATGATTATGATTCTCTATATTTAATATTTTATATTTATTTTCACCTTTATATGGTTATGATTTTTCATATTTAATGTTTTCACATTAAATATGGAGAATCATAATCATACAAAGATGAAAATAAATATAATCGTTAGATCAACATAATCGATCTAAGGGTGAAATTGATTGGTAGTAACACATTGGTTGTTACAATATCATATCCCTTATTATGTTTATTTTGGAATCTTTTGATGTCATATCAAATTATTTTTCACATATTAATATGCAATTTATTGATTCCGCATTTGTTGATTTGTTATTTCATGTTCTTTTAAGCAGTAACAGAGTGGGGGTTGAGAGGCGATCGCCCTTTATTTTTCAAATACGACTATTAATATTTTTTATAGAGTGATTAAACAGTCTGTTTAATGCCACTTATCATATTGTTGCATGAGTTATTTATTATGATTTATTATATTAAATTATTTTTCACATATTAATATGCAATTCAATGGTTTGTTATTTTATATACTTCTTTATAGTGGTGGAGCGATAGGGCCAGCCGCAACTGCCCCTCTTCATTTTCTCAAAAATTTATATTGGCGTTGTTGGTATAGTAATTAAGCAATCATGCTAGATATTACTTATTATGTTGTTATAAAAGTTGTTTGTTATAGTTTTTCTGATCTCAACACCTTTAGATTAAAATTTTAATAGAAGAGAAAAACAATAAAAATTAGTTGAATAATTGTATTGAAGAAGAGTGAGTAGAGTAAGGATAAAAAAAAGTCGGCAAAATATTCTATTCCTTTTCATAATTGTGTTGAAAGATGATATTATTTAAATTAGTTTAAAAGATAAAAAATTGAAATATATTGTAAAGATATAAAAGAAGTAAACTGAATAAAAAATAAACTCAAATTTTATATTCTAGTCAATTCCAAATTAAACTTAATACACACACCTTAGCGTCAGGCACATTGTTACATCACAATTTTGAATCAGAAAATATATTTCGAAAAATGGCAAATCTATTCACTTTATTCATTTTTGCTAAATCTATTTATGTGATTCGACGAAGAATGATAGCAAATTGTGAGATATTTATATATTTAAATCTAATAAAATATAACAAGACTTGAGTGAAGTGATCTTATTTTTATAATAAAATTCCTTCAAAAATTTTATATTATGTTACTTAATATTGTGAGTATTTTATTCATATTACATTATTTTATATTATGTTAGTATTATAATTTATATAGTGCGAGTATTTTTATTTAATTATATAACTTTTTTTTTCAATTATAAACTTTGAAATATATGTAATTTCATGCCTCACAAAATACTTTGCATCATTTTCAGGGGATTATTATGCCTAAACCTTCATCGTTATGTATGACGGTGGACCACTAACATTTCATTGAAGTTATCTTGATATCTGGTAACAGTATTAATTCCTAAGTATTATTTCCAAACTTGATAACTAACTGATTTTGAGAACTGGCGATATTTGCTAAATTCAAAATAGAGTTGTAAATAAAGAGGGAAATTATGCGGCTGATAAAAATCAAAACAAAATTTAAAATAAAGATGGAAAATTATGTTTAACTTGGCCAAGTAATTAAAAGGTTATCTCTACCAAATTAAAAATTTAATAAATATGATTCAAATAATGTAAATATTCATTAAACATATTATATGATTGACGCGTACTTTTTACACAATTCCCTTATAAAGAATTTACTTTTCACAATTAATCAATAACACAGCTAGTGCTTAATAAACGGACATACTGCTGGCTAGAATAAAAATTCCTTTACTTATTATATCATTAAATGATTATTTTAGTCTTACTACTATTAATACCTGATTGATTATAATTGGATCAATTTGAAATCAACAGTTAAAAATGAAAAAAAAATTAACTATCATTCTTTCAAATTAATCCAACGATAGTAATAGTAATAAAGTTAAAATGATAGTAAGTATAATTGTCTCCTTAAAAATTAATAGGTTAAAATTTATTTTATTTTTTCAATCCAAAGAATAATTGGCTTTGTGTTAACCCACGGTTCTACATGTACAATCATTTTTAATTCATTTTTTTTACCGTTTCGTTATAATGCCGTTTATTGAAATCATAACATAATAAATTATATAAAATTAAATTAAAAAAAAGTATCAGATATAAGAATTAAAAATATCATACTTTTGGCATTTTTAATTGCATAAGTAATAGTTATTTTTAATTTGATTTATATAAATCTCACATTGTTATAATAATAATAATTAACTGTAGGAGTAGGACTAATTTAAAAAACGATTATTCATATCAATACTAAATTATAGATTGTTTCTTAGTAACTAAATAGAAAATGAGTCTATGATATGGCACAAAATATAATTAAACATAATTATTATTTAGATTAAGCATGGTCTCAAATTGGTGCAATCAGATCAGGAAGAAAAGGGTGGAACGCTATTTACCCAAAAAAGAAAAGGGGGGGGGGGGGGGGGGGGGGGGGGGGGGGTTGGAACGCTTCCCGCCAAACGGAAAATCATAATTAGTGCTACTAATTAATAATTAATGTCACGTAATTATCATTTAAAAACAATATTACTATTGATTTCACATGAGTATTGACGAGTTTGAGCCGTTGGATGAGGGGAGAAGTGCCCGGTGTTTAAGCGACGTGAGGTCTCAACTCAAAAGCAAACGTTCTAACTAATTTGGAGGCTTAAGAATATGTATCGATCAATTTAATTAATATATTAGGGTTGGAATGTCAGGCCAACGGTTACAAAATTTGCTGTTTAATTAATGACGATGATATAGTTAATTACTTAATTGGGTGGGTCTTGCAGAGATGTGGGCCCTCTGGAAAAAATTATTGTGAAGATATTTTTTTAGTAGATATTGTGAAGATATTTTAGTTTTCAAAACTTTACAGTGTGTTTGGTACCGGATATTTTTTAAGATTACTGGTAAAGCTACATTGGTAAACGTTAATTGTCATGTTTGGTACAAGTTAACAAAATCATTTCCTGGAAACCTTCGTTTACCTAGAGGTGGCAAAACAGGTCGACTTGCCCCGCCTCATCGCCAACCCGCCAAAAACGGGTTGGCCCGCCCCGCCCCGCATTTTGATATGGGTTGAAAATCCTAACCCATCTCATTTTGTGGTGGGTTGGCGGGTCAACCCGCTTAAAAAATAAAAATAATTAAAAATATATTATATTTTATTAATTTTATAATATTTTTTATTTTCATTTCACAATCCCTTTAGTTTTTTTCAATCTCAAATCTAAATGTATATTAATATTCAGTCAAATATTTTTTAGAAACTTATTTTTGCCTCAATATATGGATAACTTTTGTAATAAATTAAATTTTTCTTCTTTATTTTTTCTGGGGGAGTATTAAGATAAAAAAATTTCAAATCACAAAAACTTATTGACAAATAAAATACTATCTATTAGTAAAAAAAAAAATTGACCTGCGGGCCAACCCGCCCCGACCCACCGCCAACCCGTTTTGACCTACAACTAAGCAGGATGGGTTAAGTTGGGTTGGTGGGTTGAAAAGTATAACCTAATCATCCCCGTTTTAGTGGGTTGGCGGGTTGACCTGTCAGATTCAACTCAAATTGCCAATATTCTGAAATCATATGGTATTTCAGAAATCCAACACAAAACGGGTTGACCCGTTGGGTTTTACCGATATTCTGATTTACAAAGCAAACTCTCATTTCAGATTACCAAAAATCATATGGTATTTCAGAAATCCAACATCAAGGTAAAGCAGCAAAACAAATTGTGAGAGAAAAAT